AACTATGCGGTCAGACAGAAAAGTGACATTCATACTTACTGCCACTGCCAAGAGCCTTGGCCATGACATTTAAGATTTAACAATTAATCATTCATCAATCCGACGAGCATGAAATGATCTTTGTCAGGACATTTCCAAAAATCTGAAGCAATTGTTCAAACCAAACACCTAGTTGTTCATTGGGATGGAAAATTTCTCAGAGACCTCATTGGAAAAGAACAAGTAGATGGCTTGCCAGTTATCATGTCTGGATTAGAAATCAGTCAACTCCTGGTAGTACGAAAGTTGGATCCCGAGACTGGCGAGGCTCAGGCTACTACTGTCACCAGGCTACTAGAAGACTGGGGAGTAGAGAATCTCATTAAGGTAGTATGCTTTGATACAACAGCCACAAAAAATGGAACATATGCATTACTTTAAGCAAAATTAAAGAGAAATCTACTGTATTTCACATGTTGACATCACCTACTTGAACTAATTTTTTCATGTGTGTTCAATTCCTGTATGGGACTGACCTCAAGACCAGATGTTGCAATCTTCAAGTAGTTCCAGCAGCACTGGGAATTCATTGATCATTCAAATTACCAAACTGCTGAAAACAATGTTGATCTAAAAAAATGCTAGTGCAGACATCAAAGTTGTGATTATCGCTACAAAACAGCTTCAAGAGTTCCAACCCAGAGATGACTACAGAGAGTTCATGGAACTTATCATATTTGTTGGTGAAACTTCTCCTCGAGGTGTTCGTTTTATGTCACCAGGTGCTATACATCATGCTCAATGGATGGCCAAAGCCTTGTATGTGCTCAAAATCTACATGTTCCGTGATCAGTTCAGACTGACTGCACATGAAAGCAGAGGAATTTGTGATGTCTTTATATTCGTAATCTGACTTTATATTAGGGCTTGGTTCACTGCTCCTGATGCAATCTCTTTTCCTCAAAGCAATCTGACATTTCTTCAGAGTTTAAAGAAATAAGAAGAAATCAACCCAGCTGTATCCAAATCAGATTCCAAGAAATTTGTTGGGCATTTGTGAGATCTTAGTGAAGAGTTGATAGCCTTGGCTTTTTTTTCCCCTTTGTACTGTCAGACATGAAGCGAGCCATGATATAAGCAATGAATGAACATGAACTTCATGAAGGTACCCAAAATCTACCAAAGTGGATCAAAATCAATACCAACACAGTTCAACAAAAGTCCCTGCCAGATTTTGTGACAAAAAATACCCTCAATTATTTTAGTTGCCTGGAACTTTCAACATATTTCTTTGATGTGGATCCTGAATTGTGAAGTTTCAAAGATGACTACAAAATAGCATTGGAATTTGTACGGAGTCTGAAAGTGGTCAATGATACAGTTGAAAGGGATGTTGCACTTGTTGAAGAGTAAAACTCTTTGTTTACCAATGATGAAGATCAAAAGCAGTATCTACTTTAAGTTGTTCAAGATCACAGACATTGCTTTCCTGATTCAAACAAAGAAACCCTGACAAAGTAACTGGTAATATTTTGCAAATATCATGATTATTATGGACATGGATTATATTGACGTTTTAATTTGGCCATAAAAAAAATTGGTTTTTCATATTTTATTAAATTTTGTTCTTTTGTAAAGTAGGAATAACTTCAAGGAGCCTATAAAATATTATTTGTTAAGCTTTATTCATGTTTTCTTTTCTTTTATTATCATCCTATAATAGATTCAACAGTCAATGAAGTCATTCTAAAAATGTTTCAAAGCCTTGAGTGATCACTAAATATTCCATAACATGCTTATAATTTTGCCTACTAAGTTTTCTTATACAGTCAAACAAATCTGAAGGGTGAGAGTTTGCAAATTCTAAACATTAAAATTTTATCCCCATTTAAGGACCACACTATTGTGTAGGTTACTTTGCAGGTAATCTTTCAATACATGTAGATGCCCTATTTTAAAGATTAGAGAAGTTTGACATAGTTTATTTTGTGTTTTTATTTAGGTATAACCTTTATTTATAGATGGGGAGTTATCTAATTTATGCTATTTATTCCTGTATAGCTGAAATTATTGCATTGTTTTTGTTTTTTTACCCTTTATGAATTTCTTTATCATTCCTTGTGTTTCTTAGATATGTTGAAAGCTTCAAATACAAGTAGGGATGTGAATTATGATTGGTTATAAAGAAAGGGGGGTATTTTCATGAAAGATCTGAAAAATATATGGTTATCCCTCCCATCAGTCGTAACAAATGTGTTTGTGTACCTAACGAAAAGTGTCAAGTATCCTTTTCAGAGGCCTTGCACTTTTCATAGTTTTCTGAAGTTACTGATACTAGATGTATACCATTTAAAGCAGATGATGTCAAACAAACAAAAACATTTGTTGGATAATACACTATTTGGCATGTGGGTAAGTAGTGAAAGGTATGGTCTTCTTAGTGCAGATATTTCAAGTGAGGTGCGCCTGAGTTTAGCATATTAGTTACAGTGACCCATCTATGTTATATGGTACTGCCTGCATCATGCATGTGCAAGAGAAATGGGTATTGTGCAAACAGTGTCAGTAATGTGGTTTCTTGGGCATAAATAACATGGGTTTACATGATCTACTTCTTTACCTGAAGATGTTCAAGATGTTTCAACAATCATTGATGACATGTCTGATGAACAAAACAATGTCTGAAGACTGAATGTGAAATTGACCTTATGATATGTCATTTATGGACAGGATTAAGAGCAATTTTTCTAGTCTTTAACATTTTTGGGATAAGGGATATTCAAATGAAGAAATTTGATAAATAGGAAAAAAAAATCCACATCTATCTTTGTCCTTTATAGCCGCTCTGTGAAGTGATCGGTTACTTGTCTCAAGTGAAAGTTTTGAAACCTTGAATTGCTATATAATATTTTATTGAAGAGTCAAAAATTGCAATAATACCCAAGCTATTGAGTGTAATCTGGCATTATTTCAAGAAGCAAGGCAGTTTCAGTTGAATGACAAATGCATATTTCATAACCAAACTTACACCCACAATGCCACTTAAATGAGCAGGCACTTGACAAAATGTAAGAAATATTCATTACATGTCTCTAAGACCTACGTGAACCTTCACAGTGTTAAGTCATCACAACTGAGGCAGGGGAGGGGAGGGATGGACTTGTTACAACTAATTTTGTGTGCTATCATAAAGTCCAAAGATGACAAACCTATACTGTTTGAGGTTCTTTAGCATCAAGAAGATGGGTACAGCACATGAAGACACTTTGTGGCATTCACTCTTCTCAGTAGTTGAAGAACAAAATTTTGATGATGACATTTTACTGCCAATCAGGACGTTTGCTTATATCTATCCAACTTGTTGAACTCCAAGCACTGAGGGCAAGGCTTTGAGAAAGGTGAAAAGACTGAAATCATGGTCATGAAAGTACCCTAGCATAACCCTAATGTAGATACAATGGTTGTTTCATGAGACTTGGCTGATTGTGCAACTGAACACAAGTAATGGAGCAGGGACATTCCATGGAAGTTAGCCAATGTGACTGTACTATTAACATAGTGGAAAAGATTGAGAGGATCAGAAGTTATCCAAAGTTACTAATTTCTCACACTAATGTTACTTTTGTACATACTGGAAGAAACTTGATGTAGAAGCAGAAAGAAAAAAAGAAGGAAAGAAAGAAACCAACTCATGATGGACAAAACAGTTCATCTTGTTACTGCATACATTAATCTCAACCTCCTTCAAGATAAACATATGTGTATTAGAAACAGAGGGGATTTAGAATGAAGAATGAAATTTGGCACCCAAGACTGAGCATTAGCAGGACTGGCACCAATGAAAACAGTAATTAGAAATTTGTAAGAATGAAAAACCAAGTAAGGAAGAAGTCAATGAAGCCAGTGGCACTGGAGGGAGAAGTGGTATCTGTTAGTGTTTTAAACCATTTATTTCTTTTAATTGTTCACAAATACTAAAATGTGCAATCGAAGAATGAAGAGCACTATAAAAAAAACAAACTAATCCAATTACTATATGTGTATGCTTTGTAATTTATATAAATCAAAGTACCTCAGTAAAGAAGTAACTAACACTGAAAATGTATCTAATATTCACATTATTTATTACTAGCAATAAGAAAATCAAATTTCAAAAGTAAAATAATTTGAGATTTATTATATAGATATATATTTTTAAACTTTCCATAGAGCTGTATCTGGCAAACTGACATCTCTACTTTTAATACTTTGTATTGTAATGAAACTTCACTTTCTACATAAAGTTTCAAAAATCTTTCAATTTACTCTTGATATTAATCATATTATTATTGTGCTCCCTTTACTCTTAGTTGTCCCCTGGTGGATCAGTCATAACTTTACATACTTATAACACTAAAATCTGAGGTTCCATTCTGTGCGACAGACAGAGCACAGATAGCCCACTGTGTGGTTTTGTGCTATAAAACTAATAAACTAACAGTCACTCTTGGCCCTTATGTACTTGAATTAAAATAGTACTAATATCAGTAATTTTGGAAATCAGATGCATTTAACATAATTGATTTTATACTGGTATAATTTTTACTTTATTGATAAGGAAACACTAGATTTGGGAGTTGGAATTTTTACCTGATCATTTCACTTCATTTATTGCCTTGTTAAATGATTCTTTGATAGATCAAAAAGAGAATTGTTTTTCATAATGTCGTTGCTTATGATAATTAATTCTATCATTCCTGTAAAGTCAGAGACATAATTTTATTCTAAGTATTTTATTTGTTTTTAGGATAAATGAATTTTTGTAATTAATTTAAAACATGGGACTTAATTTAATGAACTGTAAAAAACACTTTTTTCAACTATAAAAAAAAATTTGGATATTTTGTACTTTGACGAATGTTACACATTGTTCACTTACATTATAACTATTCTTAAATGCAGGCCATGTTTCTATTGGTGCTCTTGGTGACAGTTTCTATGAATACTTGTTGAAGGCTTGGATACAATCTGGTGGGAAAGATCAGCAAGCAAGGCAGATGTATGATGAAGCCATTCAGGTAAATAGTCTATAACACATCCACAAAAGAGTGAAAATGCACAGTATTTGGGAACAAGTTTTTACCCGTTGCAGTTTTTTTGACAGTTTGAAGGTAAGCTGTCTAAAGCTAGTTTTTTATATGGTGGTTCAGAGCTGTACATACTTATTCGTATTCAAGATGTTTTTCTTTTCTTTTTTTTTTCCTTTTTCTGATAATGTAGAGGTAAACAGAGTATCTATGTGTGCTTTATGGTATAAAGTTATCCAGACATCCACTCATTTATTTATTTTTATAATAAGATTATGGGGTATATAGACTGATCTGATTGAGAAAATGTTTTAGCAGTGCTTAGAAGGCAGATGAAGATCGAGATAGCCTTGTGTGAGGGGAGGTAAGTATCTATTGGAAATACATTTTCGGTGTAAGGAAAATGTTAACTTCATACACCTATCTTTTTCCAGAGGTACCTTTTAATAGGTTGAAAGATAAAGAAATAAATTGTTGTGTGTTTCACTACACATGTATTTCCTGTAGTGGTGCCACTGCTTTCCAGTATTTTACTGTAGGTTCTACACACTTGTCAGTGAATGGAAGACAGTTGTTGCTGTGAAATTCTCCTTTTTCAGTATTTGTGAGATGTTAGAACTATTATTTAATTCTGAAGTATCTGTCAGAATAGATATCGAAAATGCAGCTTTTGTATTTTATAACCAATAATATTTGATTTTAAACTAATACTCAGGTAGTTGAAAAGAAGCTGCTACAAACATCTAAAGGTGGCCTGAAGTATTTTGCTGATATGAGATATGAAAGATTAGAGCACAAGATGGATCATCTTGCCTGTTTTTCTGGTAAGTGTTATCAAAGAGTTCTGTTTGTGATTTAAATCTTAAGTAAAAAGAAAATTAGAAGCTGTATATGGTGTAAAACGTATATGACATACTTTATCTATAGAGATAAGTTTATTGAAAGGTCAGATATAATTCTGCTGTGCTGATACAAAATCAGAATCAGTTCTGTATTGAATGTCTAAAGGAACCATTCACTATCTTTGACAAGTTTATTTACATCAAAAACTTTATTACTGGAAAGACAGTACAGCAACACTCTTCTCCTCCTCCTATCTTGTACATAGTCAATATTAAGAAAGAGGAAACTTGGTCTGATATAAATTTGTCTTCATAAGCAATACTGTGGTTTGAAAGTATGTATTTTTTTACCAATATAACAATAGAAATGAAGATGTTTTATGTTTGGTCAATTGCTACCTTTTTCATGTCATACTGACGCACTGAAATCAGTATTTTCAAATGTAAAGAAATAAACTGGTGTTTGCTTCACAACACATGCAGTTCTTTTAGTGGTGTCATCTGGTTTCCAATATTTTATTATTGGCACTTGTACCTAGGTGGTGAAAACTTGAGTTAAACTCGCATGAAAATACTGAGTTTACTCAATGAAGCATTTTGTCCCTTCTTTTTGTTATAAAAATTTTTTAGAATATTATTCCAGTTGCTGATTACTCATTTTCAGTTGCTGCTTTTTTGTTTATGTGACTTCATGCCATACTTTGAAATACATTTCAGAGCTGCATGTATGCAGTATTTGCTCTGCAGTGTTTTAACTTTAATGGGAAACAGTTAAGATATTTGACTCTCAGAAAATGGATTTAAGGTACATATTAAGGTTGCCCTACGTTTTTTTAGTGAAGGACCAGATAGTAATGAAAACATCTGAAAGTTAGTTTTTACTTGGCTTCAAATACAGACCTTAGCAGACAATAAGCATTTAAATTGATAACATGTTATTAATTTTTTAAATTATCAAATGCTATGGACCTTAATGGGATATAATTATGTGGAGATCCAGAAGTGTGTAGCCTTACAGTTAGACAACTCTCATTTATACTAATGTAGTATTGCCATGAATACTATTGGTCATAAGCTACTTGATTGTAAAGTTTGTATAGTTATGTGTGAGTGGGTGTTTAATACAGAATCACACCCTTTTACAGTTAAGCACACATAAAGAACATGTCTCTTTTTCTTGTAATAGCATCATTCTCCATGGTTCTTCAACATTGCATCTATTCTTAACTAGAACCTCTGACATAACATTCTGATTATTGATAAAGAACTATTATTCTTACAGTAGTACTGACCACTGTGTGGATAATTATAAAGATTTGATTGGTATCAGCCAAATATAACTTGGTCTGTAAAAATGTGCTCTGCACTATGGAGCCAAGGGTGCATTATAAGAGTAACTATCAAATCCTATTACTAGATTCAACACG